TATATACTTTTGTGGTAATTTATTAGACTACTCGATCAATGCACCATCTGGCCATGAAATAGTCTATTTTATTAAAGATTGTGTCATTGATCATGAATACATGATGGGATGCTAAAATGCTTCGCATCCGAACGAATATATATGTATGTGGTTGAGTCATGTGATTTTATAATATTATGACGTCAAATATTATCGCTAGTCTATATTTCACGAAAGTCGCCGTTAACATTTTCATTTTAAGACTTGTTTTTCTTTGCGGAGAACTGAATGACGAATTTTTCGTACAACATATTTTTGATCGAAAAGCGAAAATTGCACTATTTAAATTCTTTGAAGATAAAAATAGAAACAAAATTAAATCTTGCAAAATATCTACTAAAACCTGACTTATGTGTTATGTAAAGCTCGTTCCAAGTACCAATATTGATCAACCTATGTTGCTTCAAACTCAGATACCAAAGATAGCTCAATTATATTGTTAATATTATTGCGTATTACTATTGCGCATAGCTAACTACCAAGTCAAAAATTCAAATTCTAAAAAAATCAATTTAACACAACTCATACTCATATGTATGTAAAGACAATTTGATTTTTTACATTTTATGAAATGTAATAATAAAAGAATGGTAAAAAAGAAGAGGCATTTTTATTTAAAAGAAAATGCACAGGAAAAAATAAGTACTTCAAATTATAACATTTGTAAACTTCCCACGATAATTATTCTTCTTATATCATTGCAATATACATACAATGATATAATAATTCTTTATTCATCCCCGAGACACACATTTTTACATAATTTGTATCAAGTATTTTTACTTGTATCAAGCATTTTTACTTTAGTCAAATCGTCAAAATGACCCTGGCGAGATACTACCTTTAGTCAATACCTTAGTTATATCAATTTCCTAATTCATTCGGCGGACATGTAATTAATTATTATTAATTTTCCGATTAAAAAAGGTATTTTAAAATACATACTAATAAAGTAATTTTGATTTCATAAAAAATATATATCCTAATGACTTTAGGAAAGTTCGTAACTGGTGACAATTATAGAGATAGATAGATATTTGATTAGTATTATTCTCTCTCTTTCTAGTTATTACACTTATATACGGATCGTTAATAGGGTCGGATAATATCTAAAAACATATATTGAAAACAAACGAGTAAATATTAAATGTGGATTGAAAAAAAATATAAAATCGAATCATCTATATGTATTTAAAAACTTGGTTCAAGTGTCAATGAAGCTTATAAAAACACAACAAGATCACATATTTGGAATCTTCGCGATAAGAAAAATCCGAATTACGACAAAATGTTATTAAAGATTTAATTAGTGAAGAAAAATAAACACCGAGGTATAAATATATGAGGAGATGGCTTCACAAGAAAAAATAAAATGATTTTTCAAAATACGCTTCAACATTAAATTAGAATAGATCAAACACGACGCGTTTTTGTTGAATAATCTTCGACGAATAAATATACCTACCTTTCAGGCTAAATAAAAGTTGTTCTATGGTCAAACAAACTCGCCTATTTGTCTTTTAAATTTTGATACAGACAATAACTTCGTCATAATTTCGTATGGATATTATTGGAAAGTTAATATTAAGATGTTAACAGTCATTTATTTGTAAAAACGCGAATCACCTATTACATGTGTTACACCAATATTAGATTGTAAATCATAAATATATAAAAAAAAATTTTTTTTAATATTGAAAATATGTACGATTTACCTTGGAAATGTAATTTTGATAATTGTGATAAATCATTTAAATTTCTTTGTAGATTGGAAAAACATCAACAAGTACATACAAACGAGGTAAATAAAGACAATTACTAGTTATTTATATTATGATTAATATTCATAAAGTAAATCAAAACATCAAAATTGAAGAAAAATGAATATCCTCTCTCTCTCTTCTAATCATAATTTTGATGACATTTAGAGACCATTCAAATGTACATTTGAAGGATGTGAAAAATCTTATAAACGTTCGGATCATTTAAAATTACATTCAATAGTTCATAATCCAATTGACTCTAAACCATTTAAATGTTCAGTAGAAGGTTGTGAATCTAAATTTTCTTTAAAACATCATCTCAATCGACATATTAAAGAATTACACGAAATTGAAAAGCCATATAAAGTAATTTGATATTTTATTAATGTAGAATTTTTTTTTTTAATGTTTATATTTTAATCCTAATTAATTATCTTTGAATATATATATATATATACCTTCAGTGCAATTATGAAAGTTGTAACCAACCTTTTAAACAAGATTATTTATTAAGAAAGCATCAAAAACTTCATACTGGTGAAAAATTGTATCCATGTGAAATTTGCACAAAAAGTTTTTCTACTTCTACTAAATTACAACATCATAATCTTGTTCATTCAAGTAATCTTCACTTTACAACGATTTTTTTTTCCTAATTCAAATAACTATGGTGTTGTGCATTTATGTATTTACTTATTAGCTTAAAATTTAAAATTTCAGATGAAAAACGTTGGTTATGTACATTTCAACAATGTCAGCAAGAATTTTCAAAATATCCTCAGCTTTTAATGCATTTAAAAAATGATCACAAATCAATTTGTGAAATTTGTGGAAAAGAACTTAAAAATTTAAAACATTTAAGAAGTCATATGAAGACTCATAATTATGACCGTATAGTTTATCCATGTGAGTGGGAAGATTGTAATAAATATTATTATAGTGTAAGAATCATTACCTTTTTTAAAAAAACAAAATTATAATCACACACTGAAATTTAATTCAATTAATTATTTCTATTAATTTTTTTTAAACAAATTAGTTAAAATCTCTAAATGTTCATGTAAAAGCAGTGCATGAAAACATTAGACCATATGTTTGTAGTATAAGAGAATGTGGAATGTCATTTGCTTATAAAAAAGTTTTAACAAATCATATGAAATCTATTCATGAGGTAAAATTACTTTTATTTATTTCTTTAGTGGTCTTTCTCTGTTATGTGGTTAATTTTATTATTTTTTATTTTTGAATATTTGTAAAATAGTCACCAAAACCACGTAAGCAAAGAAGATTAAATAATGATAATGATAAATTTAATCATGAAACAACAGAATTAGAATGTCTCACTGGCTATAATTATGAGAATTCTGGTAGAATGATTTCTTGCACAATTGAAGGATGTCTTTATTTATTTAAACGAGAATATGATCTAGATCGACATTTAAAAAGTTTTCATAATAATGTTTTTTGGATGTTGGAAAATGAAGATGAAATTAATGTCTAATATATAATAATATTAACTTTTCTTTTGATTTTTACAAAAGAAAAAATATATTATAAATGGTGTTTGCTATTTAATAAATTAGTCAAATTTATAATTATTGATTTTTTTTAATTTTCTTGTTAATTTTTCTTCTCTACAACTTCATCTTGAGCTATTGACCACCATGATGGAATAAAAGGTTTTATTCTAAACAATTTTCCAGATTGATTTTCAATTACCAAATTTTCATCATTTACCTTATCCAATCTTAAAAGTGAGCTATTGACCACCATGATGGAATAAAAGGTTTTATTCTAAACAATTTTCCAGATTGATTTTCAATTACCAAATTTTCATCATTTACCTTATCCAATCTTAAAAGCGCCAATGCTACATTATAACAAGATGAACCAATATTGCCTATTGAACGTCCTTTTTTGTTATCATTGATATTAACGATTTCTTTATGGGGTGGAGGAAGATCCGATGATGATGTATTGTATTTGCGATCAACCACTAAGGTTGTTGGTTTGCTTTCATTTTATATACATATATTTATATACGTACATACATATACATCATAATGATCCAAAAAAATGTTTTTTTAATAAAGAGATGTTAAATAATTAATAACGGTAATTTCAAGAAGAAATTACCTTTCTCCTTCACGATATAGTTGTATTGGAATAATTCTTTTTCTTGTTACTCCAGTATGATATGTACGAAATGTAAGTTCTTGACCAATATAACAGCCTTTATGAAAATCAACTAAAGAATTACATTAAATAAATATAAATTTGTTTATTCACACACAATTGAAAATGATGTATTCATTTAATTTACAAGTTATAATTACTTCCTCCCATATAATCAAAATTAGATTGTAGTGGCAATGATGTTCCTGTTTCAAAATCATCAATTCCTTCTGGAATACCATGCAAAATTCTTCTAATAGTATATTCTATTGATGGTAATTCAGTAAAAGAGGATGGTAATATTGCTACAAAATAAAAAAGATATATATTAAGTTTTCCTTTTATTTATTGTTATTATATATCTATATATATATATATCATTGAATATTACGTTTTGTATCGGCTGGTAACACCAATCTTAATCCCATATCTGGATACCTTTTATCTTTACATCCAATTTCATTTATTCTTTCTTTCAAGACCAAAGTACCTGTTGGCAATTTTGTTGTAAAAGGTTTAGGAATTTGATGTTGCCACCATAAATTATTTATGTTTTTACCCCATATACTCCAAGCATTGTAATG